GGGTCAGCAACCGAGTACCTTGGCCACTAGACCACCTCGGCGGGGCTACACAGCACCATTGCCGAGCTAATAGTACGTATACGCAATGACTAGCTTGAAAGATAGAACGCACGTGGTATGAGAATGGAATTCGTCCTTTTCTTGAACCCGTGGTTTGATCAATAGTTTTTTTTCTTCATTCCTCATCTTCTTTCCTCTTTCTTTCCTCTAATCTTTGTTTCTTCTGTTTCTTCCCTCCTTCTGAAAGAGTGAACAGGCGTTGTGCCCCTCCAGGTGGCAGTTGCCAGCTTGCTTTCTCCCCCTTTCCTCTGTTTCCTTGTGTATCTGTGTATGCAAATCAAATAAATTTCCGCTGACGACCCAGGTAGAAAACACTTGATTCAGACATTCCATTGTCCATTCTGAAGATGGACGAAAAAAAGAGAGACGTGGAACGTGCACTATTCCGTGCAAAGCTTGAAACAGCCAAACTGGACGATTACGGAGAACAATCCGGTAACTTCTAGGTTTAGGTTGCTTTTGGGTTGTTGCTAAGCTTTACCTAGGTTAGGCTAGGCTCTACATTGTTTCTCAGCTCATAGAAGTTTGTTGGGCTAACGAAATTTACGGGGCATTTGTTGGACCGTCTTAGTTCTTGGTGAATCACTGAGTAGTTAGGTTCACCTAATCCCTGTGGCCCATGCCCGTTAAGATGACGATATTTTTCTGCAAACGACTCACAAGAAATCATTTTGCAATTGACTCATGACGATTGATTAGCCAAATGGCTTTATGGTTAAAATGATTGATAAAGTGGGATCACCTGCCTACTGCGGAACGCTTGCTGAGGGGTACGTAATGCCTTAATACGTACGTAATACGTACGCCTGAATAAACAAGCTTCTGAATAAGAGGGCTTTGTGGCCATATGGCTCGGCACATAAGGTGGTATACGCTTCAGTAGAAGAACGAAGACGCTCTCGAATAGAACAAGCAGAGAAACAAATTGAAGCTACGACAAGGAGGAGGAAAGTTTAAGTGGAAGGACAGGGAGGTTAGCCAGTTCTTAGACCGGCTGGCTACCCTGTGCTGGGGAAAAGGGTGAGGGGGATAAAGATTATAAAAAGAAAAGTTGCAAAGAGAAAGAGAGAGAGAGAGAGAAATTACAAAAAAAAAACGCTATTGCGAGCTCGTGGTGATGGAGCGAGCGGTACACGAGGTCTTGAACGAAATACGAAACTTTAATGATGTACATGTACACATGGCGGTGGGAGCAGGTGGGGTTCTTCAAACGTCCCCAAAATGAGGGAAGTCGGCTTTATCGTTATACAACAGGACGCACTGTAATGGGCTTAAATGAAAGCCATGGGGGGGGGGGGGGCATGAATGTTTCGGAGGGACGTGGCGAGAAAATGCGAAAAGACGGGGTCTCTTTGACTCGTTCGGTAACTTGCCATTTTTAGCCGGTCTTCAAGATGCTACGTACCTGCAAATTACGTGATCGATCAATGGCGGTCCGTCCTGTGGAAGCCGTGTGAATGCAGCCGCGTTGCATTTTATTCGGAAGTCGACCTTGTTTGGGACAAATACGGCAGCTCGCGTCCCCTTTCTGTTCCTTTGATCTTGCCGGGCTTCCTTTCCGGTTGATGGTGGTCACAATAATTTTCAATAACAGCTGGTCCTTGAAGAGCACGGGTAGGCATTTGTACATGATCTGCTTTAAGGTGAAGAGGTTATTTAACGGGGCAGCTCAAAAAGTGTACGCCATTGCTGGCCAGTCGTTTCCGAGCGCCTGCGTTTTCCCAAGCAGAAGCCCGAAACCCAAGCCCGACGCTGGCCCCATAAAACCTCACGGCACTCCTCGGCGGGCAGTTCTGCCACAGTCTGTGCTGTGGCAAAAGCAGCCAACAACAGCGCGTGTGCATTTGGGGCTTGTTATAAGGAAGGAGATATTAACACTAACAAAAGAGACAGGCAAGACAGAAAAGAAAAAAGAAAGGTATAGGGTTATTTATGCACTTCTGTAGAGTTTCGTTCGCCTCGAGAAAAAGTTATTGTAGCTTGCACTGGACGCAGAATGCTGAAGAGACAGTGGAGCTGATAGACACTTATGTTGTCCGGGCTGTTACTGGTTTGCCAAGTTGTACATTTCGTTAATTTTGTTCCTCTATTCCATATTTATCTCTCTTCTACCTGTTTCTTCTGCCTGTCTTTCTAGGCTCTGTTTATTCCTCTTTTTTTCCTTCTTCCTTCAGTTTCGTTATTCTCTCTCTTTTTACCCTTTACCTGTTTCAGTTCTAATTTATTTTTATCATTTCCATGCCTTGCACGGCGCCCTTTCATTTTCCCATTCCCATCCTCATACTCCTCACCCTTAGGTCTATCCTTCTCATTTCCCTTTCCTACCCCTTGCATGAATGGAAACAGTTGGCCGTGAGATATGGATAATGATAGTTACGTACAATCAAGCAGAAGAAATTCTTGCAAGATTGTGACACATGTTGTTGGCGCTCGACCCTTGCAAGGTGCGGAACGCTACATGTCTCTGGCAACAGAAAAGAAGCAAGGCGTTAGCTCGCAGTAAGCTTATCTGAAGGTGCTACTTTGTTGTGTGGGTGGCAGTGTAGTCACGAGTTATTTTTCGAATATTGCGGGCTTTGTTTATTAACGAGAAAAAATGAGCACGCAATTAGTACGTTTTTAAAAGTAGAACAGACCTATGTCGTTTCAACATGCGCACATCTGCCTCATTGGTCTGTTAGGTCTCATTATCTCTGATATCTTAATAGTCGGGTGAGTACTGTCAGAGCTACAAATATGAATGTAACTGAATAATTCATTGTAATTAATGAAAAAAAAAACAGTAGTGGATACTACGGCGTACTGGGAACAATATGTGCCAGGTTTTGTTCGTGCAATGCCGTTCCTCTTTTAAATATTGTACTGCGTGACATCTGGGACGCCTTGAAGAGGCAACATGTCTTTTCCACCATCATTACACGCACTTTGCAAATTCAACTATCTTCACGTAGATAGGCTAACTTCTTACAGGAGAGGGCAATCGACGGTTTGGAAAGGAAGTTATCTTTCAGCCTACCAATCAATTCAGCCTTAAACATTTCGCGGGTTACCGGACCTCTGGTAGTACTGACAATTGAACACTCCCGAAAAATGTGCGTGCATAAGGTGTGAACATGCATCGTCGCTTGCACCTGAATTACTGCAATACGCGCAGTGGTCATCGAGGAACCTACCCCCCCCCCTTTTTTTTTTCTTCACGTTTTCGTGGTGTTCCCTTAACATTAGTTGACGCACCGTTTACTTTCACTTGCACAATTCTTGCCGCATATTAATGGTAGCTTGTACACAACTGTATAACTACGTTCGATAAACGTATTTTTACGCTTGTTTTCGCACTCTGCTTCTCCGATGAGCAGGTCTGGTTAGTTTGCGCAAACACTGTAGCTTTCTGCCAGCTGAGAACACTACTTTTACGTTCGCACAATGCCCTGTCTTATTGAGTGAGATTTATACCCGTGGATCTTAAAGCCGGTCCCTTATTGACATAGATATCTCAGGTTTTCGAGAGCGCATGATTTTATTCAAACTTAAAATTCTGTCCACCGAATGATAAGAGTGATAGCCGAATTATTTCAAATATTTGGTACATGTTTGTTCTTTCGTAGGAGTAGGCCTGATGTACAGCCCAGTGAAAATTTGCAAATAAGCAAAAAAAAAAACCACAAGAATTTACGAATGCGGTCCTGGTGCGTGATAGATGTCCAGCCATGTTTCTGAAACTTGTTAATTACCGTTATGCTCAAATAAATGCTTTAAGCTCGCTCAACTTCCATGTAATGATAGTGCGCACAATCTAGACACAACTTGTACAGATATAGCTACTTTTCTTCGACAAATCGAACATTCGAATATCCGAATGCATTTCTCAGAATTGTTCGCGCTTTGGCCGTGACGGATTTACCGCGTTGCAGTTGACATGTTATGGAACGTCGCCACTTCCTGCCATAGCCCATCGCAAGCTGTAGTATGTAGAAATAAAACGGAGCAAAATGAAGTGGCAAAGAAGATTGGTAAGCAGTTTCCTCCTCTTGCTTTTCTCGTTGTTGCTTGCTTATAGCATTCCGACCGAGTAGCCTCTTCGCGCTAGAGTTGCGCCCTGACTTCCTCTTTATAAGACACGTAGATTAACAGACTTTACGGAAAGGAACATGAGACCCTGCTTAAAGAGGAACACACTCCGTAGCTACCAGACTTCACCAGCGACGCGATAAATAACGATTGCCAGTGCGCTGGGCAATATTGCCGGTGGTCGCGAGACGTCGACAGTTGTACGCAAGTTGCAAACACCGCAGCGCGCGCCAAAGTGGCTGGTCTGCCCCCCTGCATGGGCGAGTAATCGAAAAACGGCGAAACACCATCCACCGAGGACTGGCCAGTAGTGAGGGCCCCTCAAGAAAGGGTCAAGTTGCGCTGGTCCGTCCGTTTTTTCTCTTTCTCGCGATCCTCCTCACTTGCTCTCTCTCGCCCTCTGCCGGTGGCACTCTTTCGACTTGTCTCCCATCACCACGCCGCCTCGAAAGTGGAGAGGGCGGTGAGAGAGATTAGTCCTTTTCCTCGGATCGTAGGCAGGCCACGTCGAGGGAGACTGGCTTCTGGCTTTTTTCAGTCGCTACCAAACAACTCCCCGCGTGCGCACGTGCAACGATATTTCGCCGTTCTTTCGAATGCACGAACGAAGAGAACTGCCCGTTCCCGCCAAGATCGAGTGCTCCGTGAGAAAGTGAACGTGTCTTGCCTTGCTCTTGATTCCTCACCCCCTGTTTTGCTTGTCCGTGTCTTCGCAGCAATGCCGCTGGACACTACCTGGAGACGAAGGCTGTTGTACGTCGGCTGTGTATCGGACTGAACACTGTGCCCGAGGTTCCCAGCATCCTCGTCCTTGGAACAACCACACGCCTCCTCCTCGAGGAAGTCCTGGAGCGGACGATCTCTGTAAAGAAAACCGGAGTGTGTGTATCTGTGCTAACAGAAACGCACGCTGTCAAAACCTTGTTTATGTCTTCAACACTGGAACCCTTGCCGAGCGTGGTCTCTCTCCTGGACGGAAGTTCTCCGTAGTGTGTGTTTGTGTGTGTGTGTTAGTTTACTTAGTGCGAGCGGGTCCGCTGTCGGACGGTGTTTACGTCTTCAACACCGGACGAGTCTCAAAGCCCCGCCTCCTTGGACACCACTGTTTGTGCTGCCTACGAGCGACCGGTACAAAACGGAATATCCATCCATAATGTACGTGTGCAACTAAAAAGTGAACCACACTGCATTGGAGTGAGTGAGGGCGGCTGAATCAAGTTCACACGAAAACATCCAGACTGGAGACGAAGTACCTGAACAAGTATTGAAAACACTTTCTCTCAGTGAATAAATAATTCATCGTGTAGACGTCCGGCCGTATAAAGGAAGATTCCACTAAAGAAGTAAAGTGGCAAGAAGGTCTCCGGTCCACAAGCAGGAACCACCACTCGGCTCGCGCTGCCCGCGAAACACGAGACATTTTGAGATAAGGTAAAGACGTCGAGGGGTGTCGGCTGCTTTCGTAACGAATTTCTTCAAAGTAGCATCGCTAGCTCTCGGAGCGCCGAGAAACTGCGGATTCGCCGCCTGGCAACTGGACTTGCTCCGAAGTGGCTTCATCATCTGTGGTCTTGTGACTGTGATCTCTGGACACTGTCCAGGATGGAGTTATTCAGCGCCCTTGGACTTTGTTGGATCTTTTGGATATACATGGCCATTTGTGCGACTGGAGCGTAAGTACTTTCGATTTTTAACTCGCGGTTATCGAGATACTCGTTGTGAAATAAGTGGCGGCAACAAGTGTTTCGACTACGGCAAGTAGTTTATTTCTTTCTTTCCTAATGTAGGTACCAGACGTTTTGAATAAAGAACATTACGTATTGGTGGACACATCGCGTAACACCTATGTAGCGGATGCACCTTGATTCACGCTTGTCATTTTGAATTTAGAATGGCGAATGAACACTCACGCAAGTTTGATTACTTTACTTGGTGGTATAGCGGTTGCGAACACGCCCGAACCGAATTTATTCTCGTCATTTAGACGAACCAGCCGTTTCCATGTTGAAAGGAATCGGGATGACTTTATGCTCTCCCTTTGAGTAGCGAGTATTCCGGATCGTTACACACTCGTGCTATACACATGTTCACACACTCTTCTTTATTATTCCCGATACAGTTTGCCCCTCTTCCATAACAGAGTAGGTTGGACGGTGAAGCGTTGCCACTTCTTGTAAGCCCGTTCTGCATGAGCTGTTCGAAGCAAAGATACAACTCTTGATACCAATAAATGAGCAGGCGAAAATGGGGCGCGTTTTATTTCTAGATATGTGCTTTCTATAGAACATTTTCACGCACTTGCCGAAGTTTTACTAAACGTACTAAATGTAGAAAAGTCTGTCTATATGAAAATCACCAAAAAGGTTAAAAAGTTATCCTTTCCATATAGTATCGCTTCCAAAGCCCTAATTGAAGTTAATCAATATAAGTACTTAGGTGTTACTATTACTAACAATTTATCCTGGAATACGCACATCTCTAACATCTGCAAGTCGTCTTTCCGTAAGCTCTGCTTTTTGAGGCATAAATTAAAACAGGCTCCCCACAACACTCGTCTATCAGCTTATTACTCGTTAATCCGTCCCAAATTAGAATATGCATGTACTGTGTGGGACCCTTACACCAAACGTAACACTGACGCATTAGAAATGATACAACGTAAAGCAATAAGATTCATTTTCTCCAAATACCGTTCAACTGATTCCCCATCAACCCTAATGCTAACTAATAGCATTCCAACATTACAACTACGGCGTAAAATTCTCAGACTAAAATTTATGTTCTTGCTGAAAAATAACCGTTTATCCCTTAACCCGCAGCCTTTCATAACTCCGCTCGAAGCACGCCGGACAAGGCATCGCCACGCTGAATCCCTAACGCCTTATAGCACTAAAACTAACGTATTTAAGTATTCATTTTTTCCGCGTACAATATCAGACTGGAACAACTTGCCTTGTGAACAGCTGTCCAATATTGACGCTATTGCTCAGTTAAGATGTTAAGTTTTTTATGCTTTGTGTATGCCTTGTGTATGCCTTTTTGTTCTTGCCTTGTTTTTGCTTTGCATATGCTTAGTTTTTATGCCAACTTTTGTATTGTTTCTTTTCCCGTTCCATACTTACAATGTTGTTTCCCTCTGGTTATTATAATTTGTACTTCCCATGCCCCTCCTGCTTGGGCCCTTACCTGGGCCTGCAGTATGTCATAAATAAATAAAAAGTACAATAAAAAGTACATTTATTGCTTTTCTTGCGTGCTAAGACTTGCATACGTGAGTGTCAAAGCAGCAAGAAGTTTAAGAAGTAAAATGTTTGCGTGAAAGAGAGAAATAAACGTTTATTTTCGAAACAGTGCCCCGAGCAATGCCCGGTGTCACCCTCAGGTGGAAGGGCTCCTTAGTCCAGGAACCCTCTGGCTTCTACTGCCCTCTTGGCCCTGGCGACGAGTTGTTGTTGCTCTTCTAGGTCCTCCAGGGCGAGCTTCGCCTCCCACGTTTCGGTTAGGTCTTCGTTCGTCCGCCCTGCTTCATTATCAGTCGTGTAATGTTGCAGATTGCGTCTGGTAATACACTGGCATGCAAGAGCAAGTGTGCCATAGTGTCCCTTACGCTGCAGAGCGGGTACATAGAGCTATATCTCGGTGGGTAGAGACGACGCAGTAGGGCCCCGTGTGTGTATGTGCTGCTTTTCAGGCGTCTCAGTATCACGCTTTCCTTTTTTGTCAGTTTTGGGTGTGGTGGAGAAGAAGAAAAATAATTGACGATTACGATACTACGTAATGTGAGTTCTGAGCGCAGCGTCGTGTTGGGGCAAGGGCAACTGTGTTTGCAGATTGATTGATTGATTGATTGATTGATATGTGGGGTTTAACGCCCCAAAACAACCGCATGATTATGAGAGACGCCGTAGTGGAGGGCTACGAAAATTTTGACCACCTGGGGTTCTCTAATGTGCAACAAAATATCGTGTTTGAAGTTTAGTCTTTCCGCAAGATATCGACTATGCCATAAATATATTTTTTTTGTAGTAGGACACCACCCACTACGCTATTATTCGTCTTTCTGTGCATAATCGAGGTACACACTACACATCTTCGAGGTATTATGGGCACCTTGTTGAGGTCGCGTGTGACTGATGATGATGAAGAATTATGGCTTAGCACATCGCTGGGGGCAGAAAGCAGTAAACCACATACTCGTTGTGCAATAAGCATTGTGTGATGACCGGTTGTTAATTGTTGCTCTTCTGCCACGCTATATTACATACTTTAACGCGATTCTTAGCTCGACCTGATACTTGTATAGGGACTTTTTGTAAATAAGTTCCAAGCACCAGAGAGGCTCTGTGGTAGAATGCTCGACTGCCATTCAAAGCCACACGACTGCTACTTGTCACGAATCAGTCATGATCTTCTCGTGAAATGGTGGCACTTTTGCACGAAATTCAGGGCCCTTCGAACTGAAATAAACACACATGCATGACCCAAGAGCATGGCAGACGACTCTTTTTTCTGTAATTATTATGTGAGATAGGACTACTAAGCAACACGCTGTAATCAGTGTTTGAGATAACCCTGAAACGCGCCTCTCAGGGCAGTGGCGTACTTAGCTTTCGAAAGCAGTCTGAAGACGTGATACCTTTGTGGCTCAACAACAACAACAACAAAAAAATGAGACGAAGCGTTGTTTTTCTTCACAAATGTATACGTGCTCACGGATTATGAAGAATTTCTCGAGTATCAAGCATTCACCGTGGAGGCACACCGGTTATTTTGTACGATGCCACAGAATGTAACTGTGTTCTCTAACAATGTATTTATGGGCGGTTCTACAAGCAGCTCAAAATGCGTTATACAGTTTGTTATGTTGTCATTACGGTTCTTTCCTTATTTTGTGTTGAAAACGTCTTATTAACACGCACGTCGTGCGAGACACTCACAAATGTTTTACATTAACGTTTTAAATTGCAGATGTTTAAATTTTTTTTGCGTAGCGCGCGAAGACTATTACGTTATACACTTATTTTCTTATCAGCATGTCTAGTCGCTATGTCCTTCAGCAGATGGCGGTATACGCAGATACCTACTTTCAAACTTCACCGATGACCTCATCTTGCAGAATTTGCTTTCTTAAGAGCAACATTCCTTTTCTTCGTTCTCCTTTTCTGAGTGACTGCGTCGTCAGAATTTGAATTTATACCTATCTCCAAGCTTGCCAAAAAATCTTTGACAAAATAATGTAAGCATTGTTAGACGACTCATTCTAAAGAATGAGACTTCGTGAGGACGGTGCTGCAGTTACAAGAGCGGATGGTCGAACAGCTCTAGTCATCATATAGACATCATTAGAGCTCATTTAACCTGGACTAAGACGCGTTAGCTATCAACCAGCGATGTAGTAACGTGTAAATGCGACAGCTAGTGAACAAAGGTCTCTATACTCTTCACAATGTGCCGGGTAAAATGCAAGCTGTAACGTAGAAACAAAACAAAATATTTCTAGTCTCCTGACTGGACCTAGCCATTTTAGCGGGACGGAGTACGTGTGAACTCGAAAGAAGTGATTATTGGTCAGAAATTATCATCTATCGTCGGCATCCTATTACTAACCTCGCAGGGAAAATCGCGAGCGATTCTGAGAAGGTTACCACCTTTAAAACATATCAATGGAAATATAACTTTGTAAAGGGAAGTTTTTGGGCTGGTTGGTTTTGCATTATGTAGCAGGAACAGCGTGGTATTCTGCACGAGACAGAAATGTGCTGACTTTCAGCTGAACTTTTATCTGTTACAAAAGTAAAATATCAACGGAAATATATTTAAAGCATAAGAGCACTACAAGATTTTATTTCAAGGGATGATATAAGTGGACAAAGGCCTGCCCGAATAGCGTCGCGGGTCTCGTTACTCGGGCAGAGCTCGAGACAGCTCACGCTAGTCGACGAGGAAGTCGCCGACTTGCGTACTGCACCGGTTCGCGCGACGAAGCGAATGAATCTTTGTCCTCCTTCTTTCCTTCTCTCTCTCTCTCTCTCTCTCTCTCTCTCTTTGAAATGGACTTGAGAAAGCGGAACACTCATTCATGGACATCGCGCTCGTAGGGTGGAGACACTACGCGTTCAAGGACGTCTTATGACCGGTACTCCGGGGCGTTTCGCAGAACGACCACACGCTACGCGCATTCGGCTAGGAGTCATGCGAGTCGTTTATTTTTTCAATCCAGCCACGCATTCACGCACCATCCTTTCGCTTTGTTCTTGGCTCGAGTTGAAGCGCACAGCGTGTGTGGATAGCGAGACCGTGTAGGCGGAGCTGTGATGGCTAACTAACGAAGCGCTTCTTGCCTCAGAGCGAGAACTGTTATTATGGCTCGCGTTGATTGCGTCTATTACAAAAGATTTCCGCCAGAACCAGGACGATGAATTTCTGTCTTGTGCGAGAGCCCCTGATTGGCTCAACGGGTGTACATCATTCAGCTTTTTCTTTTTTTTTTACAGCAGGTTTCGTAAAGGCATGTCCATGGTCCGCGGTGTAAACAAGTGGGTGCCACAGAAGTTGGGCAAAACCCAATTACTTCTCGCTGGTCCATTACGACTCACGAAATAAACACACGGCTGGCAAACAACAACAACAACAACAACAACAACAACAACAACAACAACAACAACAACAACAA